TATGAAAAACTCTTTGATCTTTTTATTTTTTATATTTTAATGATGATGTTTTTATATGTTTATAAAAAAAGATTGACTCGGGTCAACCCACTTGATCATGACCTGTGTCTTGCTCTAATTTGATTCGGTTTGAAAGCTATGATATTGATAACTTTAAAAATTAGTAATACAAGATATCGTATAGGAATACATGGAAAAATTGAATAGTTAAACTTTTAATAAATTAAATGCTGAATTATAAAATAAAAAAAAATATCCCAATTAAATGTAAAATAAAATATAGCAATTAAAAGAATAAAAGTAAAAATTAAATAAATAAATAAATTAGAAGGCATGAAAAATTCTTTGATGAGATAGTTAAATTAAAAAAAAGATTTAACAAAATGAAAAAAAAAGGTACGGGGATCAAATTAGAAAAAAACCTGGATTGAAAAATGAAATTAAAATCTACTAAAATCTTGATAAAAGAGAAAAAAAATTAAATTAAAAAAATATTATAAATAACAAATAAAAACCAACAATAAATTATTACACATACCTCACCTAGTAAAAAAAAACACGATGATATATCAAATGAGATGACAAGAAAAGTTATTTGATTATCAGAATGCGCTGCATTTTCCAAAACTATGAAAAAAAACATAATATCACTGAGCAATTATTGAATTACCAATAAAACATATAAATAAAATCAAAATACCCTCAAAATATAAAAGGCTTCTAATTTTTGTAGTGAAGGGTAAAAGCACAGTGAAAAATAGAAAAACATGTGTATAGCTAAAGAAAATTTGCCTTCCATTTAGTTGTTTTTTATAGCGGACATGGATTCCAATTTTTATTTTAAGAAGTAAAAAAGGAGGAGGGATGATTTATGTATCTTATAGAGAGATTACAAGATGGTTTCCTTTCCGAAAAAACATGAAATTGTGATTACTTAACTTGTCTTCAGCGTAACAGAAGTCCAGTAGAGTGTTTTTAGCTAATGAATTAATGCGAGGGCTCTCTTAAAAAATAAAATAAAAATATCTATTTGAAAGGGCGGTTTGCCACTCTCGCTGTCTGCCACAAAAGTGAAGTTTATACAAGTGGGAATTGGAGCGTGTCATACACGCTGTGTAAAAGAAAGTGGCGCTAGCAAATTAGCTCATCTCCTTCGCTTGGTTACAAGGCCACCCGCTCGCTCTATTTCGCACAAGCAAGCACAGCTGCCGGATTCAACTGAACTCGCAAAATTCTCTTCCTCACATGGTTGGGTCTTAAAAAAAAATAAAAAAAAGGAGAAGATGGCGATTTCTCTTAATTCTGCTGTTGGCTCGATCAATTCAATGGTAATTTCATTTCTGCTCCTCAGATTTTCGTCCTTTATTATTTCTTTTTGGTTTTCTTTATTAATTGCAATGTTTAGCTGATAATACTGGCAGTTGGCAAGGCATTCTATTTGTGCTTAGTTTAATCAGTCACTAACAAAAACTAACACATAGCTTGATTGTAGCTTTAAAAGTAGATGTGATATGGTGCTTCATTAATAGTTGCAAAATGATAGCGTTTTTTCTTCTTCAACTGGGCCGTCCTGAACTGCAAATTGAACAGATATTCTGTATCTCATCCTCTCCATTTTTTCTGCCTCAAGTTAGAATTTATGTAGTGATTGCAAAATGAAGCCCGGTTTTCCAATTTTCTGGCTCCAGATTCTACAAGAGTTGATTATTACCGTGAAGATCACGATTTTTTATATTTAATATATATATATATATATATAGCAAAGCTGAATTCTTCATTCCTTCCTGGTCTACCTACTAGATTTCTCGAAAGGTGAAGAGCTGATTTTTTTTTATTGCTACTGTTCCTTTTCTTTCTGCTTTCATGTGGACTGAAACCCACAGCGAAGCTATGTGATATGTTGGAAAGGTTATCTGTTTGAAACTAATGTCGTTGGAAGCTTTTTCATTCGATCAATATTCTGTAATGTTTCTCCTAGCACTTGGAAATAAGGTGATTTTGCTAGTGAATGTTCATCAAGGCAATTAGTAAAAATGTAAAAGGCAGTTTCTCCATTCTTGTATCAAGCGAGCCCCACAAATTATTGGTCATTCCTCTGCTGTGTACTGTTCTTATGTCATTGTTTTTTGCTTTTATGTTGTTAAATGAACCTGGGATATAATTGTTCTAATCATGGGACATTTGCATTTACTGTTGCATTTTCCTGCATTAGTAATGCTTTATTCTTTTTTTAATATTCTGTTTCACCTTGATCTTTAATAGTTCTAGGACCTCTTTTTATCTTTATAGGGAAAAAAAGACACGCTTCAAATAAAACGAACTTTTTTCTTCTTCGTCTTCTTAATCTTTTTTTACATATTTGCTATTCAGCAGCCGTAATATCTATGCTCTGGATTATTTCAATTGATGGGGTTTACACATATCTGGTGACTGTTATTTCTCGAGATTATTTACAAAAGTTTTTTTCCCATTAAAAGCTGCAATCCAGATACCAACATGTGTCTAGACCAAAGACCACCTCCTTGGGTATGCTTGCTTCAAGGATGCATATGAATGGAAGAAGAAGAGGGTCATTCGTTTCAGCTGCGGATAATGATCGTCTTGTCACAGACACCAGTGTTAAGGGTTATGGAGGTGCTGAGAGCTCAATTTCCGACGATCAGCTGTCAACAGTGAATTCCTCCTCTGAGGATTCTCCAGGAGGAAACAGTGTTGGTGAGGAGTCAGGACCTCAATCCTCTGGAGCTTCTAATGGCTCAACAGTTTCTGCAGGTATGAAGTCTAGGCCAAAAAGGTCGCCTCTAACAGCAAGAGAGAGACTGAAGGCTGCGAGGGTTCTCAGCCGTTACACAGAATCAAAGGCATTGAAATCAGAGATGGGCAGCAAAGTATTGGATGCCATGAGAGAAAGTGATAAGGGCAAGAAAAGATCTGGCCTTCCAGAAGCCCCTGAAAACATGTTTGATGACAGCAAGCGAGGGTTGCCAAAGGAGGGGTGGACTTTTCAATTTCCAGGGGGTTCAGAACTCTTTTTCATTGTCGTTTCATTTGTTTTAATCAGCACAATAATGTTTGCAACGACTTACATTGTCTGGAAAGTTGGTGCAATCCATTTTGATGAGTATTAATTAAGGTGGAGTTCTGCTATTTACATGAGCTACCTTCTCAAATTTATCCGTAAAAAATTCATGAGCTATTTGGATTCAGGTGCTTGCTCGAGTTATATAATATTGTTAGGATTTTAATGTCTTTTAGACAAGATACATACGTGAATGTACAAAGCAATACTTGGCTGACATTATAGTTTAAGTTCTATTTTATTTCTTTTATTTATCTTGATGATAATGATGCTCAAGCTTAACCCATATTATAACATCATTCTGTATGTTGCATGTACATAAGCGTACTGATCCTACATGTGCGGGTTTTATAGTGTAGAAGGAGCATCCCTTTGCCAGTAGCGCACAAGTTCGATCCTTCTAGGTGCTATATTGTAATGCAGCCCGCAGTTGTCTTGTTTGTGTCCATAACCATGATCTCTCTCGGTTTTTTATGAATACATTGCCTATGTATCTGACCGGAATCCAAGTAGATATGCTGCCAACTTGATACATTATCGCGTTTGATAAAACAGTTCCTGGTTCGATTCATGTCCTGATATACACTTAGATTTGGGCACATTTTCCTTGTGTTTTTTCGGCGACTCTCCCTAAGCTTGGCGAGCTTGTTGAAACAATCCTTTGTCGGGGAGAAAAGGTGAAAGAAAAGAATGCACCGCTGAACTCCAGATGGAATAACGCAGGGTTACCGACACAACACAATCCTGAGGTATCAAAACTGGAACGTGAGGGATTGGTTAATGACGTGGGACACTTACCTAAATTTCAAGTCCGAGATGTCCGACATGATAAACAAACGATATATATATATATATATATATATTCCATCATTGAATTGGGGTAGAACTTTGCTAGCATGTTCTGCAAGCACAGTTCTTATGAGGTTGGCTAGTCAAAGTAATCATGGACTTGGCTAGTCAAAGTAATCATGTCCATTTTTGGAGTTAATTTCTTGACCAGATCTCGTAATTTTTTTCATTTAGATTTCGTTGACTAGGTCAGTTTTAACTCATTTACCATTTTTTTATTAATTTCTTATTTTTGAATTTCAGAATTTATCAAATTAAAACTTCCTCTATTATTTAATTATAATTTTAGAGATTAAAAAATCTTTAAAATTTGTTAGGATTTGAAGAAACTTAATTTCTTATTTTTCTACACGGCGTCAATCAAAAGTCGTGTCAATCTTTAATCCCTCTTTATGGTGAGTTGCAGTGTTTCTGTACTATTGGGGCCCTGCATAGTGATCAACTGGTGATGGTAATTGTAGGGCTCTTGTTTGCTTGTGCAGGACACTATCACTGTCTTTAACACTGAACAGATGAAGGTGGACAGAAAAAAGAAAAAGGCACCAAAATGAATAACCTCTCAGATGATCCTCGGTAAGCAATAAAGATGAAAGCAAAGCATAAGTGAATGAGCGACAAGAATGAGTTGAAAACAAAGATGATTACTTCACAAGAGATTGTCCTTTTTGTTTCGGTTGCCAAACAACATCATCCTCCATCGCAATTTGTTGCCCTTGAACATAATTGTAAATGTAAAGATATGCGATCAAGAATAAGATGCACGATGGGTCACATAAGCATGATGTCAGTTTCATTCAGTAGAGCAAGAGGTTGTGGACTCAATGGCACTTCATCTCTGAAGAAACTTACACAAGGGCAAGGCAAAAGAAAACATGTTATGCAGAAGTTGGAGCAAATAAAACAGATAATTACAAGTCAAGCTGTGCACAATTTGAGAAGTTTAGAACTGGATTCTGTAGTGACAGGATGATTCTCGGATTATCACAAAACAGGAACAGACTGGTGCCCATGATACACCGAAACAGTTATATTTCAAGAAACTGTTCCTTTTCTGTACGATGTTTTAGCCACATTGGGTTACTTTGTTTTTTTGTGAAGTTATCAAAGTAAATTCAAGTTTAGGTGACAGCCTAATATGGCCAAACACGATTTTCAACTGACCATTGAAGTTAACAAGATATCACACCAATCACCATCAAGATATGCAGATCACATATTATCAGTGCAGAAAACTGTACAATGAATCCAGGATAAAAAAGCAGGAAGAGTCAGGACCTAGATTTTAAAAAGAAAGTTGCTTGGACATGGAAGATCACTATCCTCCTTGCTGGCCTGCTGCTCCTGCAGAGGCAAACTGGGTTCAACCAAGTGCTGCAGTATATGATGAGTCCTTTTTAGTCCCATGCCCGTCTCATGCTTCTGATTCTGCCAGCTTTCAAGTATACGGATTCCCTTCGTGGCCAATACCGCTTCAGGAGGCTTCAGAAGATAAAGCTGCTTCGAGTTCCAAGAGTCACAGCCAAGCTGAGAAGCGGCGACGGGACAGGATAAACGCACAACTGGGAATTCTTAGGAAACTCATTCCTAAATCAGAAAAGGTACACAAATCTCTGTCTTAACCCTTGGTTACACGTGCGCTAATCAACATTACTTTACCGGCATGGTTAGTTATTCCTGCCAATTACTCAAGTGTGTCCTCTTCTAGCATCAAATACGGGTGCCAATATTATTTAATTTTGTCCACTAACCATTTTCTGTTACAATCCCATCAATCTTAAATAAAGTATAAGAGATCGTGTATCTAAACCATTTAGCTCCTTTGACAAAATATGGTCGAATGAGGATAGATTCTGTATTAGAGTTCACTAACAACAAATTAAACTTGAGATGAATCAATCTTTCCTTGCGTAGATGGACAAGGCAGCTCTTCTAGGAAGTGCGATTGATCATGTGAAGGATCTCAAACAAAAAGCAACGGAAATCAGCAGAACTTTCACAATCCCAACTGAAGTTGATGAAGTGACGGTTGATTGTGATGTTTCTCAAGTTACAAGCCCTCCCAGCACCAACAAAGACAAAGACAACACATTTATCAGGGCATCTGTTTGCTGCGATGATCGGCCAGAACTGTTTTCGGAGCTTATTACGGTGCTCAAAGGCCTTAGACTAACCATAGTTAGAGCTGATATCGCTAGTGTAGGTGGAAGAGTTAAGAGCATATTAGTACTTTGCAGTGAGTGCAGTGAAGAGGGGAGTGTTTCAATTAGCACTATTAAACAGTCGCTTAATCTAGTTTTGAGTAGAATCGCTTCATCATCAGTGCCATCAAATTATCGTATTAGAAGCAAGAGGCAAAGGTTCTTTTTGCCTTCTCATTTGTCAGGACAATATAAATAATCAGATTTATCAAAATTTATTTGGATTATAATGATATGATTCTCTCGTCTCTTCCCCCTTCTTTTTTTTTTGTCGAGAGTATGCCTTCTCTCCTCTGCCATCATTTCAAGAAACGAAACTGCGGTCGCACAGGCCCGTTAGTCAAAATTATCGGATATTGTTTTCAATGAATTTCGCTCTCCTTAGATGCGCATGGAAAAGGCGACACCAACACCACTCGTATCGTATCAATCACCGTATTAATCACCATCACCGTTCCGTGTTCTCAGATTCGAGTATTTGATTAAGTTCTTGATTGCTCGTATGATGGCCACTGAAGATTTATATAGTCGTTAATTTCAGGACCCATAGGATTAGTCGTGGTGCGCACAAGCTGGCCCGGACACCCACGTTAATCTAAAAAAAATCACCAAATAATTTTGATACATATTTTTTTCAGTGGGCTCAAACCTGGATATTCCAGGTGGGGCTAGGACGGCGTCTTCATGGAAGCTATCCTCACTTAATCTTCTTTCTGCGTCATTATTTTATATTAGAAGTTTGAAAGATTTTCTTTTCTCAGAACTGAATTCGGTGCAATTATTGAATGTGTGTTTTTTCGCCCCCCCACCCCCCAAAAAAAAAAAATATCCCCTAAATTGTCCCCTTTCAAAATTAAAAATTTTACAATTACCCCAAGTTAAACCAACTATATATTATGCATTTTTTATTATTTACTCAGAAAATAAGATTTTTAGGGGTTGCAATCTTGATTTAATATAAACTTTGTATCTAAATTTACTAGTTATTAGGCTTATAGTGACCGGTGGTGACCATCACAGCCCGCAGTGCGTGGTGGTTGATGGCCCCGGTGTGACATTATTATTATTATTATTTCACCATCACAGAGCGTAATGATTCATATAATTAATTAATCAAGAGAACATTATAGAGATCGAAAAAGTAGTTAGTATGTGGGCCAGGTGGCACATGTGGTCGTCTCTTATCAAATCTGATAGTGCTGGTATGGTATTAGCCGATGGTGCCATAAAGTTGGATGGTTGGAAAAGCCGGGTCCTTTGCTGCCATGATGAAAGGAATGAATACAGAGCCGTGTTCCTTTTCGTCTTTGTAAACAGTTCGAAGATTGACCGTCGAGATTTATGATATTTTTTTCTAGCAGATATGACTGTGATCATTATTGGGGAATTTACACGCAGGACCAATAAATTATTACATGAACATTTTCCTTTTCTTTTTTCTAGGACACAAATAATAATCTTTTTTATTCTTCGAAAAATAATCAATCCCAGTCGGTTATAACAACCCCGTATCACTCTCACTCTCACCCAAATCCATGCACTGCCAACACACACAAACTCTTCCCTCAACAACCCTTTCAAACACCAAAACAGAATCGTTTTGCTAATGCGACGTGCGGTTTTACGGCTCACACACAACAACCCCTCTCCCATTCTTATAACCGTTCCTCTCTCTGTGCATCCTGACCTTCATCTTCTTTAAATAAACGTATTCAGAACAATTACACGCATAAATATTATATTACTCATCTCTACAATCTAAAGTACTGACTTATTTCCTTGTCTTCCTCCTGAGGACTGTCAATGATGTGTTCTTGGAGCCCACAAGAAGATGCCACTCTGATCAAACTTGTGGAACAACATGGCCCATTACGCCGACTGAAGAAGCTACGATTGTCCAGGTACACGCCCTCCTTGGCAACAAGTGGGCTGCAATAGCCAGACTCTTGCCTGCCCGTACTGATATGCTGTAAAGGATCATCAAATATGTGACATGCCATCCGCCTCGTCAGGGTCGATTTTAGTTTTGAAATGCCCGACTGTAGAGATTTCGGTGGTCTCAATCTGATTCCTAGCCCAAGCGGTAGTGCTTGCATGCATCGCCAGGGCATAACAGAGTTAGAGGAGGTGCGAGCGTTGATGGGCCTGAGATGTCCTGACATAAAGAGTTAAGGGAGTGGGAGAGTCGATGGGCCTGAGATGTCCTGACATTATCCCCACCAGGGGATGGTTTCATTTCAATGCCTGTGGTGGAGAAAGTGGAGGGGGATGTGGCAGTAGAGGGCAGAGAAAAGGACCTGGCGATGGTGAAGAGAGATGTACTGGGAAGACGGATGAGACTTGCTTGAGGGCCATCATGCAGAAAACGATGCAAGAGGAAGCTAGGATTTACTTTGATGGATTCATGGGTATTCATCTGCTTACGCAATCCAATCACAGAAAATAATATATATATATATATATATTAGAAATGCTATAATGAAAAATTGATTGAAAGCATCTTAACAGTGATTTATTACGAGCGGTTGCCACCACCCCCATCCTCTTACAATAAGATTACAAAATAATTTAGGAGCAAGCATTGAGCATAACACTAAATTATTGAGATATCATCAATTTTATGCATAGGTTATTTTTATATCAAAACATAAACAGGAAACCTAGAAAACGGATACACATCCTTAATTGAGATTTCTAAAACTTCAATGATAAAATTGATATAAAATAAAGAAGACAAAAAACTATTTGGCTATAATATTATAACTATCTATTATTTTTTGTGATAATTTTAAGATTTGCTCAAAATTCAATCTAATTGCAGGATATTTTTATCATTACCCAGACTAATCTACAGAAAATTGCTACATCTTTAAATCGAACCTCTCTAGCAGAAGAGGTGCCGTAACAGCCAGTTGGGCTCCTGGTCATCAGTGCAATTCAGGTTTGATTCTTTTCTAAATTCCACCATGCAATTTTAGTGCTTCACACACTCAAAACCCTTACCACCCAATCGACCCAACTTTTGTTGCGCTGATGAGAAAAGAACATCAATTTCTCAGACAAAATCCCAATATTGAAGCTCAAAACCGGAAAACCATACACACGGCAATGCAACTGTCGAACATGGAACAGTTTAAGCTGCAAAAATGGCATCCTTATTTTACACGAACAAAATCAAAGGAGAATTCATATTGGAAAATCCATAAAAAATCCAGAAACCAAAAGATTAATGGCAAGCACAATAGGATGAACAAGTACAAGAAATCTAGGACACAGACACGTCTAGGTAAATAAAAAATAATCATTAAAAGCAGACTAGTTTCTCACCCTCCCCGTACTGAATCATAGAAACCCTCAGTAAATCACATAAACAAATAATCCCCACCAACTGCAACAAAAACTTGATGAAAAATTATTTTTTGCAAACTACCGCACCACTAATCCATAACTCGATATGGCGTGCACCTACGTAACAACTAGGCCAAATATCCCATAAAATCAACATCGCAGTCTAAATTCCTGGACATGTTTCATTGAACTATACCTTAAAGCATTACCGCCAACCACAGACTGCAGTTTATTCCAGTTCTCGTACAAGAAAGTCACCAAATCCATCAACCAAATTACACGACCAAAACACCACTCCTCAACACCCCCCCCCCCCAGTTTAGCAATCAGGCAAACAGAATTCATGCCATTAAATTACAAATTCAACAATAAAATGATCCGCAATTCACAAACCAATCCAATAAGAAAAGGAGATAATAGCACAGCAATGGAGGCCAATAAGCAAAACAAAATCCCATTTCCATTCAGTTTAAAAGGTCTAACAAAACCATGAAATTTAAAACAGCGATGCTCTACTTATCTGAAATCAGTAGTGATAATAAAACAAACATAAACAGGGACAAACACTAAAGCGAACGACAGCTCTCTATTGTTGACAAAATAGAAAACTACTTGGATCTCTGTCTCATCTTTCGGCGCTTCCTCTTCAACCTCCTCATACGCTTCTTCTTCCACTGTTTTGTTAAAGACAACAGAGAAACAATCTTATTCTGACTAAGCAAATTTAAAAGAAAAGAAAAAATGGTAATACTTTAATTAATGTCTTGAAAATGAAGAAACGATTACCTTGGCTCTCATGGCGGCAAAGCAACCAAGCTTTGTGTTCCCTTCTTTCTTCGATTCGAAAACCTGACTGCGGAAAAAGATAAGAGAGTGCTACATTTCATGCTTCGCATGTTAATATATACTAGCGTAACCCTAATTCTAGTGGGCTGTATTGCCAAGTTGGGCTCAACTACCTGACGAACACCAAATATCCATTTATGCCCATTTGCGAATGGAGCCTAAATTCAACAATGGAAGGCCCAATAAGCCCATATTGTACCCTGACCAAATTGTACGAGCAAGAGGGTAGAAATCTCATCTTGGAATACTGAGCCCCTAGACCAGGAGTCAATAACATTGCTGTTTCCTTTCCAAATTTTTGTTTGGGGATGTTTAGGTTTCAACATAAAAGCAAGAAAAGAAGGAAGGAAGGTGGAAATTCGGCTTGCAAACCAACCACCTGACTCGAGTGTCGAAGCCGATCCTGCTAGGGAGGCATTTTATTTATAGCAAGCAGTATGTTCTGTAACATACCAGTTAATTACTTGCAGAATTTTCGCAAAGCATTAATGTTGGTTATAAATGCAGAGAACGATGTACACATCTTTTCTTTTTCTAACAGAAAATGATGTAGAAATTGATTTGGCATTTCATTTTCGACTCTGGTTTGTTAAAAAATGTTAAGAAAGTGTTATAGAATTCCTGGCACAAAAATCTCATAACGACAGATTTAAGTCTTTAGAGAATTCATCCAACCGATGCCAATCAATACACATTGCACCATCCCCTGTAATCCTCGGACTCAATTCGCAGCTAGGCTACGAGCAGAATGGTTTCTTTGTATGAAAGATCATCGGAACAGAAATAGACAAACAGGATGCTCTTGCCTCAAGGGGAAAATCGCTGGATTTTTTTTTTTCTTTTATGAAAGTTCAATGCTACGGTGCTTGAGTTTTTTACGAATATTTTGTATTTAAGTATTGTCACGTTTGTTACAAAAAAAAGTTTCCAAATCATGAAATGTGAATCTCATCTCATAAAAAATCTTAGTAAAAATTTAATCATCTTCACATTATCCTTCAAATTAAAAAAAAAATTGAAAAAAACATGTCATTCAAAATTTTTAACATGGCTAACTTTTTATTATTTCATACATTATGTTTAAAATAAAAAACTCGCTTTAATATGTTAAATTTTTTTCCCGAGAAACTAAGATACAAAGAATGAAATAAAAGAATAAAATGAGAAAGGTGTGGAAGGTTAAAGAATGTGAGAAAAGAAGAAAGAAGAAAAAAAGAGGAAGATTATAAATTGAGAGGTACCATAAAAATGAGGAGGGGGTAAAGATTTGAGTGGGAGGGAAAATTTTAGAATAATGAAGTTTTAGAAAACAGCTACGAATCTACTCTCATCTCTCTCCCACCGCAATGCCTCCCTCCACCGTCGACGATAACCATCACAGCCACCGAGACAGCACCACGGCCACTATTCCATACACCGTTGTCTCTCTATCCACCTGAAAGTTGCCATACTCCAAACAGATTGTTGCCATCCACCACGCAACGATACAACCCTCACAATTGAACAACAACAGCAACTGAGCCGATCGAGCAATGGAGAGAGAAACTAAGAGAGAGAAAACCAAAACTTTGAGCTCTCTGAGGGCTGTAATGGGCGACATCGCTCACATAGGAAGGAAGAGGAAGGAGCTAGGCACTTGGCACGGTGACCTATGCACCTCGTAGCCTCACCGAAACGGGCAACAAAGCGCCAAACTTGAGTTGCATCTTGCTTAGCTGGTATAGGTCTATTGAACGTGAATGGTGATCTTCAACCCATACCGAATAGGCTTATACTTGTTATTTATTAACTATTCATACGAGTCCGACACTTATTTTAAAAAAGATTAAAAATAAGGATTAAATCTTTTTACGAAACTCAAAGACACATAAAATTTAGACAAATTCTTTGAATGTAAATACATTAATTAGACTTCTTCGTTTTTGTACTTCTTTTTTCTATTTTTACCCATTTTCCATGTAATTCGCTCCTGTACACTTGTCTTGACTGTTCTGATTTTGTCAGACAATGTGTCATAATTTGTAACCTCTCTTTTCGTTAATGATATGCTTGAACTCTTTGATTATCATCAAAACAATGAACAAATGTCGCCTATAATGAAAACAACATCAATATTTGTGAAGTTAGTAAAATTAATACGAGCACGCATGCAGCATCCTACTCAATTCATCCACGTCATTGTGTATAGCTAAAGAAGTATTTTTCAAAACAAATATATATTTGTTTTTTAGATTAACGTGGGTGTTCGGACAACTTGCGTACACCATGACTAATTCCACGGACCCTAAAATTAATTTGATATAGTAATTCTCGATCTACAATCAATGCAATTGACTCCATTTCACTCTCTTAAGCCTATTGAGGGATTCAACCGTATATTTGGAGTTATCTCGACAAAAAGAGTTGTCAGAACATCTTACTCGTTATGATCTATGCCAATTCATCAGCACTTGTAAATTAAAGACTTTGAGAATTGGAAATGATGACTGCGAAGGAAATCGAATACACGCACGCACCAACAGCTGATAGTCCTAAATGAATTCAAGTTTTGTTGATATAAACAAAACTATGGAAAATTAGCTATCATAATAACTCACAACTGCCAATGTTTGAAAAAATGGACATTCTAATGAAAAATAATCAATTTCCTCGTAACTAACTGAAGAAATATAAATTCTGCTAAACAATATATATTTTGCTCTTTATTTTTAGTTGTTGTTTCCATTAAGAAAAAAGTTCTGAATTACCTGGATAAGCAACCTCTACTTGAGATCGTTCCCAGACTTGATCATGAAGCTAACATGGAAAAATATGCCTGACAACATCGCTTGCCAAGAAACCCTAATTTATTGATTATAACCACACTTGCAAAGAAAACCGCTATTTCAAATTTCTTTCATCTTAGAAATTCCAACCTATAAATCACTCCAAGCCCCCCGTAATTGCACCTGAATCCAGTAAATTTAACCATTGGAAACTATGGAAAGAGGAGTAGATTAACTTATATCCAGCACTAAAAACTTGCATGTATACCATCCTTCAATTATTAGGCCTCTCCTTGAAATTTGCGGTATGCCAAAAGACACCCCCATGCAAATCCCGCAGCAACTATCAAAAATCAAACAAGAAAGGGTCCTCATCGTCCCAAATACTAGGCGGTGGGTACTCGTCATCATTCCACACAGATGGAGATCCAGGTCCAATATGCATTACCGGATCCTGCAGAAGATGACCCGCTGGTGCAACCAAAGGAGGAGTATTGCTGCCAGACAGAGAGAAACTCGACCCGACGGAACCCACCAACGCATTAACGTCATCGTACGCATGATGCTGCGGCAGACGATGACAATGATTTTGATACGAGGTTGTTGTTGCTGGATCTACACTAGAACTAACAAATATATTATTGGGGTTGGTTGTGTTAGCCCCATGTTGAATGAGATAGCGTTGTAACATAACTTGCTGGTGATTTTGCCCTGGCATTTCATTAGTACTAGAACATTGTAAGGCCGACCCAACAACATTATTCGAATAACAATTAACCCCGTATGGAGTAAATCCCGATGAAGCTGCCGTGACAGAGGGAGAAGCCATTGGATTTGAGAGAGAGAAAGCGAAACCAAAGCCACAACCAAACCCTGGGGGACGAGGGAGCAAAGGACGAAGAGTCTGGCTCGAGGAAGAGGTAGACTTGCGAGAAGTTGATCCGGACTGAGCAGAGGAAGAGGAACCTGAGGGTTGCAAATTGAGATGAGCCCTGGAGCCATAAAGGATGAAGGCTGCTCGATCATAGGCTCGTGCCGCGTCCTCGGCGGTGGCGAAAGTTCGGAGCCACTTCCGGGTTCGTTTTCTTGGCTCACGGGTCTCTGCTACCCATTTGCCCCAGCTTCTTTGCCTCACTCCTCTGTATCTAAATTTGCCGTTGTCTGGTCCTCCTTTGCCTTTGCACTTTCTGCTATTGCCAATGCTGTTATTGGTACTGTTTGTGTCACTTGTTGTGGCGGTAGTGGGTGTGGTTGCGGTGGTATTGTTATCGATGCTTTTGTCATTGGATGATAATTTGGTGGTGGTGGTGGTGGTGGGTTCTTGGGGAGGGTGAGAGAGAGATGAATTGTCCATTAGAAAGTGAATGGCTTTTAAGGCTTTATTAAGACTGAGGGGGCCTCGTTCTTTGGTTATTGATCTGTCGAAGTATAGAGTAGCCTTTGCCTGTGTGCTGGTTTGAATGTCATGTGTGTAAATGGCGGATGAGGGCGGTGATCTACAATGACTGCATGTATTTATATTTTTGTATTCGGAGAGAGAGAAAGTTGCTGCTTCATACTGGAGTAAACAGGCAGCACTGGAGCGCATTGGTTAATTTGGGAATTTGGAATCATTTGTTTGTATTTTATATATTGTGATTTTAATTCTTTTTTGGTGAATTTTATTTTATGAAGTTTCGGTTTTTCTTAGAGAAATTACTGAGCTAAGCTTTAATTATTCTGTCCAATGAATGCTCGCAGACGGGGAGGAATTATGGAAGCTTGAAGAACGGCACTAGCTTCCATCGATTTTCTTTCCTCTGAGGCTTCAAATCTCACTTGAGTCACAAACTCGTGATTTTGTTTGTGTTTCTATCAAATTATTAATGGATGTGAACAAATGTTTAATTTCCTTAAGCAACACATGATACTGAACGTGGGTTTAATTTGATTCTTAAGTCTCAGTCTCGTAAATTAACATATATAGTCTTACTGCGCGAATGATTTATCTGTAATTAAACTAGGAAGGAGAATTCACTCCAGATTCATCAGTAAGATGTGAGCTTTGGGTTCTTCGTCTATTTTCACTTTGTATTTTTTATATTAGCTATGAGAAAATTGGCGTCTATACTCTACACAGTGGATATGACCTGCAACAAAAAAAAAAATTGAAAAATCAATCTATTTAATTTTTTTTTCTTTAAAAAAAATCTCATTGGGTTTTTATTTTAATTTTGAAGGTATCCTTGAGTTTAGTATAAGGTGAGATCTAATCATTCACACCTATATTGACGAGTATTATAAATTTATTTATAATATAACTCTTTCTAAATTCAAATTTAATTAGATCAACATATGAAACGAAGCTAGCTAGGTACCACATAGTTACACAAACTGAGGAGTTGTCGGTTTATGTGTGTCGTGTAAAGTAATACTAAAAATGTTGATGACTGTGATAAAGACTTGGAACTAAGGGATTTGCTCTCTCTGTGGTCTCAGGTCCGAGTCCTTGGTTGTTCATATGATGGCCACTGGAGGTTTACATGGTCGTTAACTTCAGGGCTCGTGGGATTAGTCGTAGTGCGCACAAGCTGGCCCAGACACCCACGTTAATCTAAAAATAAAAATAAAAAATAAAAAAAAATGTTGATGACTGTTATTACTGGACGGGCTTTGAGCTAGGCAAGCTCCCCATTCCACTCTCTTTTAGAATCAAATCCAAGACCCTCTGGATATAGATATTCTATCATTTACTACTTGTTGATTGATACTTTGGATGATTGTTAGCGATATGTTAGAGATTATATTAACTTTTTTTAACATTAAAAAATATTTATGTTTTACTAATAAGTTTTTTAATAAAAAAAAATTAAATTTAGAATTGATATGATATGATTTGGTTAACTTAATAGACCTTAAGATAACTCGAATAACCATTAACAATCTAATTTAATTAAAAAAAATTGACGATGATTTAAAAAAAAATATTAAGATGAAAATATATTGAATCGATTTAAATTAATCTAAAAAATTTACAGTACATATTATGAGATCGGGATAGTTTCATGTAAAGTAAATTGAAAAAAAATATTAAATTTAATTCTCAATTAACCTGATATTAAATAATAAAATTTAAAAAAATCAACAAAAAAAATCAAAAAAACACAACTTAAATCAACTTGGATTAACTTGTCAAAGTAACAACCCGAGCCATGTAAATGGGATAGCATTGTTGAAAGCAATCTGAAACAAATTATGAAGCTCAATTCTTATTCAATTTAATATTAAATGATGAAATTAAAAAAAAAATTAACTAAAAAAGACAAAAACATCATTTTGAGTCAACTTGAATCACTTCAACTAGACATATTACCAAGGTAATGAGATTAATATAACTTTGTAGAAAGGTAAAAAAAATTATGAAACTTAATTTCAAATTAACTAAACATTGAAGAATTGAATTAAAAAACAAAAAAATAACAAAAAGACTTGAGTTAATCTATCGAATTTAATATCCGGGTTATCATATTGAGATAAACAAATCTAACATTAATAATTAAATTAAAAAATTAAAAAAATAGCTCAAATCAACTTGAATTAACTTATTAAACTTGTAACTTTTGTAATAAGACCTGAATAACTTTATATAAAATAAAGTGAAAAAATTATAAAATTTAATTTTAAATCAACTAGATATTAAAAAATAAAATAAAATAAAAAAAACATAAAAAAACTTGAATTAATTTTTTAAATCAATAATCTAAATTATAAAATTGAGATAAACAAATCTAAATATTTAAAAAAAAAAAACTGTTCATGCGAATTTACTAGAAGGGTAGCAGTGAATTCTTCTTCTCAATTAATTTATGTTAACAGTAGTTAAAAGATTAATTACTGGAGTCTTTATATTTAGATAGATACCATGAAAAAACTCGTAGAAATTAGATTGAAAAATGTCATCAATTAGGAATCTTCAACTAAAACATGGATCAACTCATTTAAGGACACCCAAAAAGCAGAGAGACATCCAAAAGAAGCAAATCACATGTCAGAGCACACCAAATCGCCATTGTGCTCTTCCACGAGATAACACAGGAAAAAAAGAAAACACAAAGGAGACACCCAAAAAAAAAGGCAAATTACTTGTAAGAGCATATCAAATCGCCATTGTGCTCTTACAAAAGACAAACTCATGAAAAAAAAGCACAAATGGCCCCTAGAAAAAATCCAAAAGACAACCCAGCAAAGAAAAAACTCAAATTACCTTTGCAAAAATCAAAGACACAGGTGGGCAAAAGGGACAAAGAATGAATTAACAGTAAATAAATAGAAATTTGTGTCACAATAAACAGTGAATGTCCATCATGTTCTAGTTTTTGCAGTAACATCAACCACAAACCTACAGCTAACTAAAACATTGATCAATATAATGAAAGAGGCTAAAAAAGAAGCAAATTACATGTCAGAGAGGCACCCAGAAGAAGCAAATCACAGGTTAGAGCAAACGAAATCGCCATTGTACTCTTCTAAAAGACAACACAAGAAGGGGAAAAAAACTCATATGACCACTGGAAAAAGACAACCCAGAAAAGAAAAAAACATTAAAATTGCCAAAAAAAAAAAACCGACAGATGCTAGAGCTAAACAAACCGAAGCGAAAACCAAAGACACGTGTGTGAGCAAAAAAGATAGAATAAATTATAAGTAAATAGATAATAATTTGTGTCACAATAAATAGGGAATGAACAGTAAATTCCCATTTTTTGTGGTCATTGCAAATTAATCACTCATTACTTAATTAGAACATGTTCATGTAATTCAAAAAAAAAAAAATCAGTGGAAGAGTATTTGACAACGTTCATTTATTTTAAGAATTTGTTAAGCACTCTTTTCCTGCTATAACATTGATTATTTGTTTCAAGATTTTTTCTAGACTGATATTGCTCTAAGCACTTTCGTATAATTTTAATCGAACAAAAATACAAGTGCCCCACAACTCCAATGATCGTGGATCTCGAAATCGATTTCATGGTGCAAGTTTTCATGCATATGTTATATGCTCCAAAAAAAAACAGCACAAGCAACTCTATTATATATATATATATTTGAAGTTATCCATAATTTTCTAGAGCATCTTTATCACTGCATAGCTGTGACCTAACTGTAGCAGAACTTGAGGCGGCTTGTTTTGATCTCATCAGACTTGCATATGCATGGTACTTATCAGTTGCTGTCATCATCCACATTGTATTCGAGAAAATTAACTCAGGCTTTCTGATTCATTTAGCATGCTGATCATCAAATATTGAACTTGCTTCTGATTCATTTCTTGGCCTGCTGCCTATTACAGGGAAAAAAAAATCATTTTGTCATAGATGTTTCATAGATTATAACATAATTAAGCTTAATGAATTACGAGAAGCATGTTAAAACGAATGTCTTGCATAATTGTAACAAGCTTGTCAATATCCAATTTCAAATTGTACTTTTGATGCTGTAATTAAGGCATCTAGAATTTCCTCTCAAGCTAGCCAGTAACCATGAAGTTGGACGTGCTTGAGATTTACTGAAGCAGCCCTCATTTGCAGACCTCACAATAACATGCTCTATTTCCAAAGCTTGTGGCTTTTTACATGATGCCAACTCCCAGAAAGATGAGAAGGTGGCATGGGGCTGGAATTACTGCCCGGACAGAATTAGTTTTTCCCCGTTTGAAATAAGGTAACATGCATGTCTTTTGATAGCTTAAAAAGGTCGTCACTTTTTGTCAAACTTTTATCAGAGACCCAGTGGATTACGTCTTTTAGTAGGTTTACTGGATGAACAATCCATCGGATAATCTCTGAGAGGATAGCCAAGTAAACTATCTAAAATCTGGAGTCGGGTTCCCGGATCGGTAGCAGCGGGAAGTTTATAAATGACAGTAAAATTGTCTTCTGTACAGTCAAGAACTTTTTACCGTAAACAAGCCATGGGCCGGATAGTGAAAAATTGGTATGTAGCAAAAGATTCTTCAAACATTGTAACAAGCAAATACATATAACCTTTTCTTCAACCCAAAATTATATGGCTGCTCATAATTTGCCCCTTATTTTATAAACTTAATCAGCCAATTTAAACCTTGTGTTATTAATTGAGTCCCTTATTATATCAGAGTCAAATACGGTCACTCTGGCCATTAGTAAGATCATGAAAATTGAGAACCAATTTAGAGCATGTAAATAGAACACCATCTACTTCATCTTTGATTCGGAAGAAAAGGACTAAAAAGACAAATTATCATACTAATTTATAAATTCGTTTGTTTAATATTTTTATATTTAAGTATAAGATAACATGTAAATGAAACACAATCTACATGCTTGTTGATAAAAACATTCAAAATCTTATTAATTCATTCGGTTGATCTTATTTGATAATCATCATATAATATGATGAGGTTTAATTGATTCAATTAATAATATATGAGTTAAATTGATTGATTGAAGATAGTATAAGGAGTTATTCTATAAATCTTGTTGGGACTAACAATTTAATCCAAACCCGATAAATATCAACCAAACCAATTCACTAAATGGCTTTTTATGAACGAACTCACTCAATAAGTAA